GGAGCAACTTTATAGATTGAGGTCTTGGATTTAGATCCTTGATCCACCTTGATTGATTTTTGTCAGATTCATCTTTCTGCAAGTTAAGATCCAGTTTTTCCAGCACCATTTGCTGAAGAGGTTTTCCTTTTCACACTGAATTGACTGGTACCCTTTGTCAAAACATCAGTTGACTGTATGTTTGGGAACTTATTTCTGGGGACTCTATTCTGTTTCATTGGTCCATGTGTCTGTTTCTGTGTCAATACCGTGCAGTTTTGGTTACCACAGCTTTGTAGTATATTTTTGGGTCAAGGAGTGAGATGCTGCCCACTCTACTCTTCTCTTATAGAATTGCTTTGGCAATACAGGGTCTTTTATGATTTCATACAAATTTTATGATTGTCTTTTCTAGATCTGTGAAGAATGTGTCTGGTACTTTGATTGGCATTGCATTAAATATGTAGATTAATTTGGGTAGAATTGCCATTTTGATTATATTAATACTTCCAATCCATGAACATAGGATGAGATACACACTTTTTTCACACATGAAACCTTTTCAAAGCTTGACCATATCATAGGGCACAAAGAAAACCTCTACAGATTCAAAGGCATTAAAAACTTTATCCAGCAACTTCTCCAACCATGATGGAACTAAACTTGACTTTAATTTCAAGAGAAATTCTCAAAAATACTCAAACACATGGAAACTAAATAACCTACTCCTGAATGACTCCACAACTACTGAAGAAATAAACTGAAATAAAGAGATTCATGGAAGCCAATAATGATGAGGATACGAGTCTCCATAATCTTTGGGACACTGCTAAAGCGGTCATAAGAGGGAAGTTCATAGCAATTAGTGCACATACGAGGAAGACAGGAAGAAGGCAAATGGATCACCTAACATCATGCCTTAGAGAATTAGAAAAGCAACAGCAAAAAAATTGAAAAAAAAAAAAACTCCAGGAGAAAGGAAATAATAAAGATACAAGCAGAAATAAATGAAATAGGAAATAAATGAACTATACAGAAAATAAACGATAGTAAAACTCGGTTCTTTGAAAAGATAAAGTTGATACACCACTAGTGAGACTTATTAAGAAGAAGAGAGAAAGGAACCAGGTGAATAAAACTGCAATGAAGCAGGCAATATAACAACAGACATAGTAGAAGTACAAAACATCATTAGAGAATACTATGAACAACTATATGCCAAGAAACAAGTCAATCTGGATGAGATGGACAAATTCCTGGACACATATAATCTACCAAGATTGAGCCAGGAGGATATAGAAAGTCTAAATAGGCCCATAACAAGTCAGGAGATTGAATCAGTAATAAATAACCTCCCAACAAAGAAAAGCCATGACCCTGATGGCTTCACCCCTGAATTTTATAAAACTTTCAAAGAAGAGTTAACACCCATCCCGCTCAAATTATTTCTAAAGATTCTAAAGGGTGAATCTCTCCCTAATGAATTCTATGAAGCCTCTATAACCTTATCCTTAAAACAGATGACAGGACCAGGAAGGAAAACTATAGACCAATATCTCTGATGAATATAGACGCAAGGTTTCTCAACAAGATACTAGCAAACTGTATCCAACAACTTATAAAAAAGATTATACATCATGATCAGGTAGGCTTTATTCCAGGAATGCAAGGTTGGTTCAATATATGCAAAACTATAAATGTAATACACCATATTGACAGGAAGAAAGATAAAAACCATATGGACATATCAACTGATGCAGAAAAAGCATTTTATAAGATACAACATCTCTTCATGATCAAGACTCTCAGCAAAATCGGCATAGAAGGTTCATTTCTCAACACAGCAAAAGCTATCTATGAAAAACCCATAGTGAACATTATCTTGAATGGAGAAAAGCTGAAAGCTTTCTTCCCACTAAAAATAGGTACACAACAAGGATGCGCACTTTCTCCACTCCTTTTCAATATAGTGCTGGAGGTCCTCGCCAACACAATCAGAAAAGAGGAAAAAAATAAAAGGCATTGAAATAGGAAAAGATGAGGTGAAACTCTCTCTATTCACAGATGACATGGTTTTATACATAGAAGACCCAATGGTTTCTATGAAAAGATTTCCAGAAGTAATGCACAAATACAGTAAAGTTGCAAGATACAAAATCGGTATACAGAAATCTATAGCATTTCTATATATGAACAACAGGCAGACTGAGATAGAACTGAAAAAAAGTTATTCCATTTACTATAGCCACAAAAAGTATAAGATATCTAGGAATAAATCTAACCAAAGGAGTTAAAGACCTCCACAAGGGAAACAATGAGAAGCTAAAAAAAGAAATTGAAAATGACACAAAAAAAGTGGAAGGACATCCCATGTTCCTGGATTGGAAGAATTAATATAATCAGAATGGCAATTCTACCTAAATTAATCTACTTATTTAATGCAATGCCAATCAAAGTGTCAGACACATTCTTCACAGATCTAGAAAAGACAACCATAAAATTCGTTTGGAGTCATAAAAGACCGCGTATTGCCAAACCAATTCTGCAGAAGAAGAGTGGAGTGTATGGCATCTCACTCCCTAACCCCAAAATATACTACAATGCTGTAATAATCAGAACAGCATGGTACTGGCACAGAAACAGACAGTTAGACCAATGGAACAGAATAGAGTCCCCAGAAATAAATTCTCAAACATACAGTCAACTGATTTTTGACACCTAACCCCAGTCAGAATGACTAAGATTAAAAAACCAAAAAATGATAAGTGCTGGTGGAGGTGTGGTGAAAGGGGAACTCTCTTACACTGCTGGTGGGAATGTAAATTGGTCCAGCCACTGTGGAGAACATTTTTTTTTTTTTGGGGAGGTTTTTGCTATAGAGCGCATGCAGTCGCCGGATGCGAACCGCGGTCGACTACATGGGAGTCCATGACATAGCCATTACGCTAACTGCTGGTTCCCTGGAGAACATTTTTGAGATTCCTCAAAAATCTACAAATAGAACTACCATATGATCCAGCAATCCCACTCCTTGGTATCTACCCAAAGGACAAAAGAATTCTTCATTGGAAAATCGCTTGCACATTGATGTTTATTGCAGCACTATTCACAATTGCAAAGTCATGGAACCAACCCAAATGCCCCCGTATGGATGAGTGGATTGAAAAACTGTGGCACATATACTCTATGTAATGCTATTCATCATAAAAAAAAAAGTCCTGGCTTTTGACAAGCAGTGGATGAATATGGAAGATTTAACGCTGAGTGAAGCAAGCCAAGCTATGAAGGAGAGGCATTGTATGTCCCCACTTAATATATAGCGAGTGTCTGCACTCTATGACTGAAACAGATCTACTAAAGGATATAGAAACACAGTATATAAATGTAAATGCCAGATATAGTGTGTGTGAAAGAGGAGGGTCTGAGGAAGGACATTTAGAAGAAAAATAGGGGGGCAATGCATTAATAGGACAAAGAAATGTGGTATTATCTGTTGAAGATATTTTATAGTTTTATCTACTGGACTAGGGAGAAATCTTCACCTGTTGAAATATTCATTTTGTAAGCTAAATAATGTGATTGAGTGTATTAAAGAAAATGAAACAAAAATGTAAAAAAAATGAAAACCACATGCCACATGAAAAGAGCTGCTCAGAACTCAGATATAGATAAAAAATTTTAAAAATTAAAAAGAGAAAGAGATTGAGAGAGACAGAGAGAATAAATAGGGTTCTTTAACCTGGCTAGATCTGAGGGCAGGAGGGTGAAGTGTGGGCACATGTTCAGTTGTCTTAATTCCTGAAAAGGACTGTTCAGAACTCAGATATAGATGGCTGGTGATTGGCTTCTCCTGGCTAGATCTGGGGGTGGGGGGGCAAGAGGGTGAAGTCTGGGCAGAAGATATTCAGTTGTCCTAATCCCTGAAAAGGGCTGCTCAGAACTCAAATGGCTGGTGATTGTTTTTTCCTAGCTAGATCTGGGGGGAAGTGGGGGGAAGTCTGGGCAGACAATCTTCAGTTGTCTTAATCTGAATCTTTGAATTCATAAAAATGGAAAGTTAAATGGTGATTACCAGGACCAGGGGAGGGGAGGAATGGAGAGTCATAGATCAAAGGCTAAAAAGTTTCAGATAAGTGGTGGGCGCATTAAATAATATGACCAAGCCATAAAAAATATAAATTCAGATCTCCCCTTTTTAAATAAATGGTAATAGTAAACATTTATTGAGCACTTAGTATGTGCTAGACATCTTGCCAGGCATTTTACACTTAATCTCTAGCAATTTTTTTGAGATAGGCATTATTATTTTTATTATTTTAAATATTTTAGCATTTAAAAAATTATACTTTTAATCACTGTGTTATCATTACAGCATGCCAAGTGAATTTTCCCATCATGAATACACTGCATATTGGTCCAGTCAAAGACATTATCATAAACATTATGATCAATAGCTTTCTTTCCATTTTGGGTCCCTTAAATGTTTTGCTTCTTTCTTCTTCCCTTTCATTCCCTCTTTCTCACTCTCTCCCACTTCACATAATCATAGTATACATCTTTACAATGTATAATATAGTTTTTTCCAGCATGACTACAGTACATACCAGTCAAGTCAAAGATATTACCAAATACATTATCATCAACACGAAACTCTTCATTTTTGTGATTTTCCCCTTTATTAAATGATCAAATATATTGGCCTACATTTGTACATTATGTAAGCTGAATGAGCTAGATATTTCAAAAGAGAAGGGCTAAAGAGACTGAAGATGAAGGGAGAAGTATGGATTTATTTCATAGTTTATTAAGACATTTATAACCATGACTCATTTAAGTTTTGTGAAAAAGTAAGAAATTTTTATTATAGTAGGTTGTTGACTATCTTACCCTTTCTACTAGCTAGGGTATAAGTTATTCAGAGGACTTATTTTACCTTTGTCACAGGATTAAGCATAGTGCCTGCAGAGAGTAGGTGTTTATATGATTGTTGAACTGATGCTTAAACTCCAAGAGGTAACAAAATGTACATGTTCTATTCTGTCTTCCTAGTCAGTTTTCTCAAGGCGTGTTTCATGTCCTTGTTCCTGAAGCTATAAATGAAAGGGTTCAGCATGGGGATCACCACTGTATAAATGACAGTGACCACACGGTCCTTTGTCACTGAGTAGGTGGATGAGGGGCGAATGTACACCGAGATGGCAGTCCCGTAGTATAGTGCCACAACTGTGAGGTGGGATCCACAGGTAGAGAAGACCTTGTATCTGCCTCCCCCTGAAGGGACCCTCAGAACGGCACGGGTGATGTAGACATAAGAAACAATAATAAAGATAAAAGGACTCATGATCACAAAGGAACCCTCTGTGAAGGCCAAAAGCTCATTAATGGACGTGTCAGAGCAGGAGAGCCTTAGCAGTGGCTGAACATCACAAAAGAAGTGGTGGATAATGTTGGGCCCACAGAAGGAGAGGCGGGCCATGAGAATGGTGTGAGTGAGTGAGTGGAGGAGGGATACCATCCAAGATGCTATCACCAGCAGGAGGCAGCACCTGGGACTCATGGTTGTGGTGTAATGCAGTGGGTTACAGATGGCCACATAGCGGTCAATGGCCATGGCAGCCAGGAGGAAACTGTCATTGATTGCACAAGCCACGAAGAAATACATCTGGGTGAGACATTGGGCAAAAGGGACCTTCTTGTTCTTGCTCAACATGTTTGCTAGCATCCTTGGCACGATGACATTTGTAAAGCAGATGTCAACAAAAGACAGATTGGAGAGGAAAAAGTACATGGGAGTGTGGAGACGTGCATCCCCCCGGATGGCTGCAATGATGACTGAGTTGCCTATGACATTGACCAGGTACATGGCCAGGAAGCTGGCAAAGAGCCACACCTGCAGTTTGGGGTCTGTGGTCAGTCCTAGAAGGAGGAATTCAGTGACATGACTTTGGTTTGCCTTTGGCATTGCTGTCCTACAGGCAGAAAATATGAAGGCTTGTTAGAAGCGTGTCCTGACTTGGAGTCTCCATTAGTTATAAGTTTCTGTGAATGACTGGTCTAGCTGAAGAGAGTATGGGTTTTGGTGTCATACAGATCTGACTTTTCATTCTGGTTGTCTCTGATTTACACTGTGAGCACAAAGCTCACTCCTAAACTCTCATTTTATTCACCCATATAGGCAAAAAATATTCAGAAATTCAGTTCTTTGGACTATTCTATTTTGGCTATATTTTCTCTCTTTTTGGTTTGTTGATTATGAATATCACAATACCTTACCTTTTCAAAAGAGAAAATGCAGGAGATGATATTCTTAGTTTCAACCTCTCTGGTAAAGTTTGGAGAATGGGTTTGGGAGTTTTAGTAACAATCCAACCAGGAATTCCTGAATCTGTAAAATTTAGTTTATAATTCTCCAGTATATGATGTATGGCATGGGAGCAGTACCCCACCCCTTTTTAAAAAATTGTAATTTACACTTACCAGCAAGGAAGAGAGAGAGTATAAAGCACTCCTATCTCTAAGATGGGGAATTATCATGCTGTAATTTCTTCCTTAATTCTCCTTTTGTGGTTTTTGTCATGAACACACAGACACACTGGCATTTTTTTCAAGCTGATGGATTCAGGGCTTGAACTGCATGATAGGCCATGTGGTATCCAGTTACCTTGATTACTGTCACCAGTTGACCCTAGCACCACCTTTTGGCAGAAGGAAGACACCCATCTGGTTCAGTTAACCCTTCATTTTGTGCAGGAAGGTGTCATTAAGAGTATCACAATAGAAGTAACAAGCACGTATCTTGGCAGTAGTTTAGAGTCAAATTACTGGTCCTGTACCTAGGGTCAGATCCCAGCTCTCAGTCAAATTGATTTACAGTTGGTTGAATATAAGAAATGTGTTAAAAGTGTAGGTGAGGGGCCAGCAGGTTGCATGGTGGCTAGGGTATTGAACTCCCACGTGGCCGACCACAGTTCAAGTCCTGGACCTGGTGGCTTGGTTTCTCACATTTCCTCTCTCTGTCTGGTCAGATTACAACAATAATAATAATAAAATTAAGTAAAATAATTCTTAAAAAAAAGTGTAAGTAAGCTGTTATGCCACACTTAAAATCCTGGATAGCAAAGAGTTGGGTGTCATAAACTGGCTTATTGTCCATGAAATGGACAGAGGAGCACAATTCAGAGAAAACAAAGCAGGACCCACATTGGGAGGGAATTGTGGCTTTTCTTGTAATTTTGTGAAGGCAGACACTCAGTTGCAAAGGAACATTATTAAAAGATAAATGACTGGTCCTATACCTAGGGTCAGATCCCAGCTCTCAGTCAGAATGAATTCACACGGAGTCTCCTATATTCCTGAACTTAGGTTCTTAATGTCTGTCTTGTGTAGGATCAGGATTAGTTTGAGGGCAGAATATAGGAAGTAATTGCAGATATCTATCACTGAATCTAGACAAAGGGTGAAAAAGTCCAAGAAAGGTGAGTGAGCAAAAGACCATAGCTTAGGATACCTAAGAACCAATATATTTATTTTTGATGGTCAAAGTACTTAGATAAAATTATTTGCATTGTTGGAGAGAATCCATGCTGTCTGCATCTCTCTAAGAACCACCCTAAGATGCAGCAGCATAGATTCCTGAAGCTTTTTTTTTTTTAACCCAAAGTGTTGGAAAATTTGAACCTAAGTGATTTTTCCCACTAGGAAGGGTGAGGAGAGGCTCAGGGATCGGTCTGGCTATTAATCACTTTACGATTACACCTCATAGCAGGTGCCTAATAAAAACACTGAACACGGGACCAGCAGTTGGTGTAATGGCTATGTAGCTGGGCTCCCTTGTAGTTGACCGTGTTTCCAGTACCAGACCCAGTGGCTTAAATTTATGCTGGGAGCATGTGTAAGATCTCGAGAGGAGAATGGAGGAGAAGGGATTGTGGCGTGGCCATCCCCCCGGGGAGTGATTTCTCACTTTCTATCTCTCTGTCTCTCTGTCTTTCTGGTGAGCACAAGTGCCCTATAGCAAAAACCTCTGTGAAAGAAAAAAAGGACACTGAATACATAGGTATTTACCTTGTGCAGGAACTGTATGGTCTTTTAATCCATATATGAACTCAATATTCAGATGAGGAAACTGAGTTCTAGACTTATTGAAGAGGTGTTCAGTAGCTTGCTTACCTTCATATAATTAGTAAGTGGCTGTAATTCCAGCTCAAGTAGCTTGGATTTTGAGTCTTTTTTTTTTTTTAAAGAGATCCCTTTAATATAAGGAATACAAAAGACCGAGAGAGTACCCTACAATTACACAGCTCTGAGCAGGGAACTTTCTATTACAGCATCTCCAGCGTCTGAAAGGACAGAATAATAAATAACTGCAGATGCATCACAAGACACCCATTTATTTACTCACAGTAGTGGATCTCACTACATTTTACCCTACAGTTTTTATTCTTCAGATTTCAGGGTCTTTTTGTTTGTTTTTGTACCATTACTGTACACAACCTCTCTGCCTATTGCATATTTCTAACAGAATAAAAGCAGAAATGACAACTGTGTTAGTGTCTTGAATTTATACTTGTAACCAATATCATTTTTAGGATTGAGAGAAACAGAGGAGAGTCCAGGACTGTGTTCCAATCCTAGTTTAGTTACTTACCAGCTACTCCCCTTGGAAACTCTTTATACCCCATTTATGTTCCTCATGGAAAATGGGAAAATAACAATATAATTTTTATCAGAATATCATGGGCATCGAATGGACTTAAAAAGTGCTTTATAAATGAATAGATGCTATATAAACACTAATCATATAAATTATGTTGAAAATAAGCAGCATAAAACAATAGATAAAAATACATTACTTATATTTAGTGTATAGTATGTAATTTCGCTGGTTAAGACACAAAAAAAATGAAGAAGAATATGTAAGTGTCTTCATGTGTGTGTGCGTGAGAAACTGTTACAGAGGTTGTCACTGAAAGGGCAACAAACAGGTCTCCTACCACCTGTAGAGATGTGCAGAACAAGAAGTATTAGAATATCCTGGGCAGAGATGGAAAGGAACAGAGACCCCAGAGAGTTTTCTGTGCTGTAGTTTTTCCTGCAGCCATGACAAATCAATTAATAGTCTGATGCTCAGAGTCTGCCCATCATTAGGTCGCTGGGGTTGGTGTCAGGTAGCTCAGCAAAGCCAGATAGCTTTCCTTGACCCAGTATTTTTATTTATTTAAAAAAACATTTTATACATTCAATCACTGTTCATCACCTCAGCTTGTAAAGTGAATTTTCCCAGCATGAATACACTGCACACCACTCCAGTTAAAGAAATCCTACACATTATCATCAACAGATAATCCTCCATTTCTATGTCCCTTAGATGTCTTGCCTCTCTATTTTACTCCTTGATTCCTTTCCTTTTGGAGTAGGTAAAGACTTCTTAAATTAAACCCCCAAGGCACAGGCAATAATACCAAAAATAGACAAGGAGGATTACATCAGATTAAGGAGTTTCTGCACCGCAAAACAAACAATGATTAGTGTGAATTGATGACCTTCAGAATGGGAGAATATATTTGTGAACTGTACCTCGGATAAGGGGCCGATGACCCAGTATTTTTCACTTTCTCAAAGGTCCTTTGATGTGAGCCAAGAGACTGGTTTGCTATCAGCTCCCTGGGTCCTATGATTATTTCTGTGCATCGTCTGTGGCTCCAAAGTAGGTGCTTCTGACTGGGGCAGTGGGAGAGCTGGAGCGGAGCATAGCAAGAGACAAGAAGGGCATGATGTATGTGTGGGTTATGTGGAGATCTGTCTTCAGGTCATCCTTTAGACCATGCCCTCAAGTTGCTTTTTATTTTTTTACCACAAGAAAATTTTATTTTCTTTCATATTTTTTTCTGTATTTAACCACTGATATCAATAGCAAGTATATAACTAATATAACAAAATTGCTAACATTTTACTATACAAATATTATATTAAAATTTTGGTACATAATTGTCCAATTTTTTTCTTACTCTTAAGCCTACAATACCTTTTACTATAGCAAAGATATTGATAACAATAGTTTTATGTATTTATTATTATTTTTTAATGATAGAGGTGTGCGTGTGTGTATGTGTGTGTGTGTGTGTGTGTGTGTGTGTGAGAGAGAGAGAGAGAGAGAGAGAGAGAGAGAACAAGAGAGAGAGAGAGAGGGAGAAGCACCCTTGACAGGGTCTCATCATGCTGAGATTCCCTTCCCCAGCCCTCTAGCTCCTCAGGATCCTGGGCACTCGGTGTGTGCCTGGTTTGTTTTCAAGCCAGCTTGTGGATCCAAACCTGCAGCTGGCCACACGACTTCTAGCCTTGCAAGACAATTGCATTATCACTGTGCTATAGTAGCTGGGGCTAAAAAGTTTTAAATTAGGCATATGATGACAGTAGTGAGAGGATTGAGAAGAGTAGTGTAAGACCTCTGAACTTCAGGGTTCAGGTGGAGTGTACTGAGTCCAAGTGTATTGTAATTATAAGCTCCCCTGAATCCAGTCAAGTGGCCAGGACTGAGAGCTCCGAGGTTAGACAGTGCTGGTTCAGTTCAAGTCCTCCCCCTGCCCCTGCCTCCCCTATTGGCACAATCACTCAGGCAAGCTGCTTACCTTTAAGACTTTGTTTTCTTTTTTACAAAATGAGAATCACAATAGGATCTGTTTCTAGGCAGTTTTGAATATTATCATAATATACACATATATCAGTTTAGATAGAGCACAGATAAGCCCCTGACTAAAGTTCACTGTAATTATTGGTACTCTTTAACAACATTATAATTATTTAAAAAATTTGCTATAGGATGTGTGCACTCCTAGATGAAAGATGAGAGAGAGAGAGAGAGAGAGATAGAGAAAGAGAGAGAGAGAGAGAGAGAGAGAGAGAGAGTGAAAGCAGCCCTACTTCCAAGTGGAGATGACCATGCTGCAATCCCTTCTCCTCCAC